TTTCTCATCAGCAAAAAAATGTTACCATTGTTATTGAGAATTATGAGTAAACCCTTATGGGAGGTGGCCAGCAGTACAAACTACGATGTGCAAAAGGACAAGGTGACCTCAAGCTCAGTGTAGCCCAGTATGGATGGTGTACTGAGTTGCTGAGTGGACACAGCACCTGGAGACCCCAGATAGACAAGTATCAGCATACTAACACTAGGATATCCTGGTTCGAAGTAGGATCCAGCCCAGCTCGCAGGCCATACTTGAAACCTAGTTCTTAGAGGACAAAATGAAAGGCATCAGGAGAAAGTCCATAGCTCTAACAGGAGTACTCAGGCCCACCACCATCTGAGACAGGAGGAACCAGAGCTGCTAAGATGCTAAGACCCCCCAAGATTTGACCAAGATTGGCTCAAGGTCCAAACCTGATGGTGGAAGGACCTTGATATTATAGCAGAGCTGGGGGCTGGGGCAGGGTGGGGTGGGGAGAATGCGGGGGGAAGGGCAGGGGAGCCGGCGTGAAGAAAGCAGGGACTGAGCTGAGATTCATTGCAATTCATGAATGAAGGTTTTCAGCACTTTGGTATTTACTGAAAGGCCCCAGTGGGAAAGAAAATGTATTGAAATAACCATGCTAGTTATTAAAAGTTGACATCTACCCTAGCCTGAGAATTGGTAAGAAACTGCTTTGGGAACACAGGTCTGGGTACCATCTCCTTAGATCAAGAAGATTAGGGGCAAGGGCGACTGTCTTCCAGGTTCTATGTAGAGGCCTCCTCCAAAGCCAGAAGAGAATAATATTCAAGACTACGAATTTTAACAAGCTACCATTTTGACACTTTTGAGTGAATCCAGTGGTTACATCTGCTCTTGGCCAGGAGTTTCCTAACCAGCTTATGAATAAATGCTTAATTAGCATTATTTTCACTCCATCTGGGTCTGTGGCTAAAAGGTTAGTGATATTTTCTTTTACAACATAAGGGGAATTTGGTACCTTGGAAACAGAGTGTCTAACCCAGACCACTGGCCAATGGTTTTCAACTCAGGCTGCATATAGAATCATCTGGAAAGTTTTTTAAAAATACCAGTACCAGGGCTCCACCCCTGGAGAACCTGACTTAGTTTGTCTGGGGTAGGCAATATGCCAGGGAATGGTTTAAAAGCTCCACAGGCGATCATTCCATCCAGCTAAGTTGAAAGCAGCACTTCTCAAACTCTAATGTGTATATTAATCCCTCGGGATCTTGCAAAACACGTAGATCCTGATCCAGTAGGCCTGGGGTGGAGCCTCAGATTCTGTATTTTTAACTAGTTTCCAGGAGATGCCCAAGCTGTTTGTCTGCAGGCCACACATTGAGGTCTTAGAAAATGGGGGGGTGGGGGAGGTGAGGTCAAAAAACGAGAGTTCCATACTCATTTTCTCCCAGGAATATTAGAAGGTGAGTCCTCCCTGACCAGGGAAGACCCCACCTCCACGCCCAGGTCTGTGGCTCTTTCTTAGACATTTGTCAAGTTGAACAGATGCTTCCAAAGCTCAAAATGACCTTCTGGAGTTAGCTATGAAAATGAGCAATCATCCAAATGTCTAGTAAGGCCTCAAATCAATCAAGGCAACACTAATGGGAATTTAAGAGTGAGCAAATAAGAGTCAAGCAGTGAACTTTAGAAAAATGACTCTGCCTTTGTTTTGCTTTGGCTCTGTGCTCGTGGGGAAACTCCGTAGCAGAAACTTGTGTGGCCCTAGCTTAGTCAGATGGTGAGTCCAGGCTGTGCAGAGGAATTCTGAGGAAGGGGGGCTCTGTTTATGCAGAGTGGCTTAGTAGGACTCACCACACAGTCTACTGCAGGATCCCTGCAGACCTGAGCCTTGGTCCCTTGAAGACTGGACTTTCGGAGGTCGTCCTGCAGCGACTGCCACTCTCTTCTGCCTTCACCTTCCTGACATACTGCTTTTCTGGTCTCCCTTCCCTGGTCAACATGAACTCCAAACTCTGTGTGACCTCCAGATCCATGGGGTTCTTCAGCTTACCTCCCAGGACATTCTTCTTTTCTCTCCTCCCAAGCTCACAGGCCATCTCCTCACCAGGGCTTTCAGCATGGCAGCTCCCCACCTGGAATAGTCTCCCTTTCCCATTCCCAAATACTGAAATTCTCACACACTTCAAGGCCCAGCTCCAATTCTATCTTTTTTGTCAAGGTGTCTCTCACCCATCTGCCCCCAGGCCTTCCTGGGCTCTTAGAGAGCATTCCCTGTTATCCGTGGTTTTACATGCCCTATTGCTCCCGGCTTGTCATCTTTTCACATCTCTAATCACATCATGAACTTCTGGCTGGCAGTACTGTGCCTATACGTTCTTGTACTTCCTGTACCCAAAACAGTTCTTTGTAAATAATAGATGCTTGGTAAGATTAGTATACTTTTGCCACAGAGCTCACCACAGTTGATGAAGCTGAGATTCCCAGAGGCAAGATTTTCAGGGGTTTTAACGCACAGACAAGACTTCCACCAGTAACAAAAGTATCCATCATTTCAATGCCTCAGGATCCCTCTCTAACCCGGAGCTATTTGCCATTGTGTGGCACCAATCAGTCCCTGTTTTGGATTTCCTCAAAGCCCTGTGCTTTATCCTCTACCAGCCCTCATGTCCAGGCCAACCCTCATGCTGGGGTGTGCATCCAATTCAATAACCTAATCTTCAGACCTAATTTTCACTCCTTGTAAGGAAGTCAAAGGTCTTTGCAGGATCAGGTCCTGCAAAGAGAAACACAATAGGGTGTGGCCAGGAGAAAAGTAGAGACCCAGCCAAACAACTGTCTCCTGGAAAAACGACTCATCCAGTCAGAACAAACAGGTGTGGCCACTCCACTAGCTCTGAGTAGAACTCTGCACCAATGCAAAGCTGCAGATATATATGTAAGAATGCCATCCGATGCCATCTATCCAAGAACCGCCATCAAACTTTTCTACAGGGGGAATACTTGTCCAAAAAACTAAACAAAAGCACTGAGACTATGGATGTGATCATTAGAATGCACCATGGATTGCTTTGAAAGCAGGACCTTGCTGAGAGGTCTGAGGAGTGTCCTAGTATACTGGCAGCCCTTGACAAACAGCACAAGAGAGATGAAATGCATTTGCTGCACTTTTCTGATTCTCCCCCAAGGCTCATTGCACAAAGTCCCCACTCCTTTCTCCCCTAGGACGCTTAGCCAAAACTGCTGCCCTCGGCTTCACACATGACTTGCTTTAGCCAGGTTCTGTGTTGGCCTCCGGCCCCAATGCTGTTCTGAATCCTCCCCCATGGCCCTCAGGCTCCTCTAGCTTCATGCTTCTCCCAGGTCCCAGTCCTCCCTCATTACAGAGAAGGAAGAGAGTTAAATTCAGTCAAGTTTAAGAAGGGAGGAGAAGACTTTGCAATTAAATTGCTAATTAAGGAAGTATCAACCTGAAGAAGCTAATTTGCACTGACCTACTTAAAAATATCTAGCAGCAGATCGGGCAGGAATTGAGGTACAGCCCTTTTATGCATCAGCCAACTGGCTTTCTTTCAGAGCAGCAGCTATCAATAATTCCATGCTGAGGACCATATGATAGGAAATCAACCACTGGCCCCTGGAATGCCAGCATTCCCCACTGCTCTGTTTTCCCAGTTGTCAGCTCTGTTTATAAATTGTCCATTTATAGCAAATCCAGCACCTGCTATGAACACCTCATCCTGCCAAGTGTCGGAGTGCATCTCAGAAAGAGCCACTGTAGACTTTTTCAGTTCCTTTTAACCTTTTCCCAACCCTGAAGCTTTAAAATTTGCATAGGAATTCTGAGGGAGGACGTATTCTGTACAGAAAAGGCTAGATAGTCTATTAAAAGGTAGCATTTTGCTCCACTAAAAAAGAGAAAAAGAAAGAAAGAGCAAATCATCATTCTCTTGGGAGACACAATGCTCTCTTTCTGAACAAGTCTGACATTGGGACACATTTAAAATAACACCTAAAAAATTCAGCAGGGTAAAAAGGCTCTGGAGAAAAGTTAAGGGAGGCTTTCTTTTTCACTCTATTATATAGCTTTTTAGCTCACTGTCAATACTGCCACTTAGCAGATAATTCTGCCTGCTCCCCAAAACCATTATGTAAAATATATTTAAAGACCTTCTCAGTGCTGGAAACCCAATATATGACCTACACTTGGTTTTTTTTTCCTTGCCATGTATTCATTTGCAAAGTACCTAGAATTAATTCTCAAAGTTCCACCCCTCCCCCTAATTGCAATATACTTGTGTTTGTTTTGTTCTTCACAAAACAAAAATAAAATCAATGACAGGCATAGAATATTCACGGGGTATGGGTTCTTGGTTTCTAGAGGGTTGTGAAGGTAAAACCAGATGTTTTGATGGACAGAAATTTGTGAGTAACCTTGGGGAGGCGGGGCAACCTCTTGATGCTTCTTCAGTTTACACCTTCCCACAATAATCCTCAAGCATAGGATTGTCACCCTTTTTAAAGCTATGGAAGGAAACCCTGATTAAGATAATTAAGACCACGTGGCAGAGGCAGCAAGGCCGAGAGGGCTGCGTTCCTGATACCTAGCTCTGCATTCAGCCAAATGAGCGGTCCCATATTTTTATGGGAGGACTCAAAGGCTTAATAGTTCTTAAAAAAAAAGTTGAGATATCTGGATATAAAAGACAACCTATGCAAGGTTGTTATTATTAGTGGGCCAGCAAAGTTAGGTGGTCATGAGATCAGAAAAAAACGGAAGTGACTCAACAAACAGAATTAGAGAGCATGAAATTGAACACCCATGAAATTTCAAAAGCTTGCTCTAGGCAATGTGCTTTCCTTTTCATGGCCAGGGTCCTCAGCATTCCTGTCTGGGACAGGTTGTAGCTTTTTGTTGCAATTTATATAGATTAAGCTGATCTTAGATTACACAGGCATCCAGTATTTCTTTTCAAAATGGAGTTGTGCTTAATCAGTTACATGCTACTCCAATGCAAATCATTCTTGCTTACTTTTTGGTCATTCGATGGCCATCTGTTCACCAACCTGGATTCTTTCACTCATCACAGAAGTCAGGCTCCATTACTTGAGATGATCTCTGAGATGCCCCTGCTGAAGAAAGGAATGTGCAAATTAGGAGACTACAAATCAGTTTGAAAACTCAATGACTCCTTCCCATAAATCTGTGTCCTTAATATTAAAAATCATTGGGAGGTGCTGAAATGAAAGAGAACTGATAGCTACAGAAAACAGCAGCCCTACTCTTTTCAGGGCACGGATTAGTAGTGGAGAGGGGCTATGCAGATCTAAATCCATATTCTGCTACCAAAAATAGAAAAGAGGAAATCTTTGAAGCCGAAGGAGGCCCAAGAATAACTGTCAGCAACGAGCTAGAGCTACATGGGCAGGAAGCAATGCTCAAGGGGCAGTTTTGAGCTGCTTTCTTTTTTCTCCCCAGTGGCTTTCACATTCATCCTGTTAAAAAGATAGCTTTCAAAGACTTCCCTTCAACCCAGACACGTAGGCCCTCACAGCCGCCCTTTCCGCAGCAGCTCAGGGGCCTGGCACTGAACATCGCTTCCACACAGCCCTTGGGTTTGGTGTTATTTCCCCCCATGGATCATTTCAATCTGTTTAAGGCTGAACAGTGAACTCTTCATACACCATGTTACACAGAGAGCCCTTAGTAGGAAATGGTTGGCTGAGCAAACATTTGTTTCCTGTTTTGCTTTTGATAATTTTACATTGCAACTCAACCTAGCTTTCATCCTTTTGATTTTTTTGTAGTCATAAAAATCAATGCACCAAACTAATGAAGATTGTTTTCTCTGATGTGCTTTGAATGACATGATAAAAACGTACACTTGAATCTATCTTATAAAAGGTATTAGAGTTAGAAGAGGTTCTTTGGAAACAAGAGGGTGAGGGAGCTTTGGAATGGTCTGTGGGACAGCTGGAGAGGCACAGAGGGTGACACTGACTAGAAGAAGATCAGGTTGATGGGTGGTGATGAAGCAGCTTAAAGGCCCAAAAATGGAAAATAGGATATGGAGGAGAACATAGATTAGGAAGACGGCAGAGTCTCTGCAAGCCATACAGCACCTTACGTAATTTAGGAAAAGGCAGCCCTTCTCCTGAGCACACACACTCCTGCTCATGGCTAGAGTTCAGCCCTCACTCTGCCTTGTGGCCCGGTGCCCTTCTGCAAGGCACAGCCTGCACCATACCATACGTGGGGCTCGGGGGAAAATGTGGGTATGAGATTGAAAGGCCCAAATGGGGAACTTAAAAGAACTGGCAAAAAAAAAAAAAAAAAAAAAAAAAAGAAGCAGTCTGTCACAAATACTTCTGGTAGCATACAGGAAATCCTGTTTTGAATCATACAACTTTGCTAGCAAGTATGTGTGTGGTATGGGGTATGGGGGAGTTGACAAAATTTATTTCTCCAAACTAGCTGTATCAGGACATCCCAGTGAAAGATTTTATCTTTTGTCATGTTTCATATGATGCATGTATTGTTTGTTTTAAGAGAGCTTTGTGTTTATAACATCTAATGAATAACTTCCAGGATTAATACAATTTATATTTGTCAGGATCACAATCGGTGTCTACACGCAAATTGCTGTGACTAGTTATAATCTGAGCACAGCCCTCAGCCAAGACATGAGTACATTTGAAGTTCATAGGATGAACAATTGGGGATTCCTTACTGCCTTTATCTCAAAATTCTTGAGTGTTTTATTGAAACAACTGGTTAAACTTCAGCCAAAAGAAAATATAATAACCTCCACCATTCAGACATGCTGCTTTTTTAAGGTCATGGCCTCAATTTATGCTAACCCCTTACCAATCTGTTCAAGATAGGCCTATAAATTGCATCATGGTTAGCAAAATTGAAGTGGGCAAAAATCAAAATCTCATACAAAGTCATCAAGAAAAGAAACAGTAAAACATGAAATTACATACCTATTATTAATACCATAGTATCTATTATTGTGAAACAATCAATAAGTAACAAATATACCACACTGGTGAAGAATGTTGATAGTCAGGGAGACTGTGGTAGGGGGTGGAGAGCAAGAAGTAGGTGGGAACTCTATACTTTCTGCTCAGTTCTGCTGTGAACCTAAAACTGCTCTAAAAAATGATAAAAATCTATTAATAACACACATACACAATCAATAAAATTTTTATCATAGATACAGGAGGAGATTGGTGGTTGCCAGAGGGTAGGGGCAAAATGAATGAAGGTGCTCAGATGGTACAAACTTCCAATAATAAGATAAATAAGTCTGGGATGTAACGTACACCCTGGTGACTAAAGTTAGCAATATTGTACTGTATATCTGAAAGTTGCTAATTGAGTAGATCGCACAAATTCTCATCACAAGGAAAAAAATATAACTATGTGTGGTGATGGATGTTAACTAAACTTGTGGTGATCATTTTGCAATATAGACATATATCAAATCATTATGTTGTACACCTAAAACTAATACAATGTTATATGTCAATTTTATGTCAATAAAACTGGGAAGGGGGAATAAATAAATAAAAGTTCTAAATGGCTTCTCTTCCAAAACAAATCAGACTCGTGGGCATTAGAACCACACCTGATAGCACACGTTCAAAAACTGTGGCCATTTTACCCACTGAGACAGATTCTCTAACATATTTAAGGAATGCAGGCTGTATATATTTTTCATATTTTAATGCTACCTTCAAATGTAGTACTTTTGCGTTCAATGTTCACTATTGCTTCATTTGTTAAATTTCAGCAAAATTCTTGATTGAGTAACCAGCAACCTGGGCTCCTCACTAATTACTGCCATGCTTACTTCAGGCAGGTATTTCTGAGCCTTCCATTCTTATGTGGAGATAGTGTCATCGACACAGATCACCTCTCTCCACACTTTTCCAGGGAACAGCCTTGTCATCTACAGAGTGGGAAGCAATAATTATACTGTATTCTGTTTAAGGAAATAGAAAACTATTTAATTTGAAAAAAAAATTAAAGTTTTGGCATGCAAATATTAAAACTATTATTTTAGGTCAAAATCTCCCTTGGTAAAACTAAAAGTGATGAAATATTAGTTGTGTGTAAGTACTTTTTGTTGCATTTTAACTTTCCATCGGGCACAACTGATCTCACAGATTCACTGCACACAAATTTTCAAATATCTAACAGTTTAGTATCGTGACTCATTGCTTCCGTATCCCCCCCCCCCCACGGTAAACTATCGCCAGTCATGTTTGTGACTTAGTACAGTAAAGACGTATTTCATGGGACGATATGGATGGATTTAGAGACTAATATGTTAAGTGAAATAAGTCAGTTGGAGAAAGACAAATACCATATGATTTCACTTATATGTGGAATCTAAAAAACTGAATGAACGAGGGAAGTGGGCAGAGGTGGTCTCGGAGATATGGAGGAGCAACTGATGGCTGTTGGTTGGGAGTGGGTGTGGATGGGGAAGAGGGGGAGGGGGTTGGACAGCATAAATACGTAGCTGCAGTGTTGCCACAGGGACGTGGAAGACAGTTCGAGGAATGTAATTGATGGTGTTGTGAATATTTTGTGGGGTGTCAGGTGGTCACATGTCTTGCTAGGAAGACCGCATCATAGATGGGGAAGAGGCTTGATCACTGCACTGTACACCTGAAGCTGATGTTGTATAATACTGTATGTCAATTATAAGTGAATATATATATATATATATATATATATACATATTGTCATGGGATGTGGAGTATAGTGTGGGAGTGGAGTCAAGGGAATTGTAATAGATATGTAAGATATTGGGGGGAAGTGGGGTGGCGGATTGGGGAAGGGGGGTCGTCACTTCGAGGGGTAAAAACTATAACTAGTGCACTGTGTTGTACAGCTGAAACTAATTCTAAAAATTGTGTATTTCATAATAAAAAATAATTAAAGATAAAAAAGACGTATTTCATAATGGCATCTTTGTGTGCAATGAATCTGTGAAATCAGTTGCCCCTGATGGAGGGTTAAATGGCAAGTTCTCTAGTAGTGGCTGAATAAAAACTCCACCATAGCTTTGCTCTACCTATAATTCTTTTAAATCTTTAGATAGATTTTTAATTTTTTTCACAGTAATCAAAACAGTACAGTAATATTTTTTTCCAGTCAAGATGGCAGAGTAGGTAAATGCTGTGCTCACCTCCTCTTAGGATCATATCAATTACACAACTAAACTACAAAACAACCATCATTGAGGATTACCTGAAATCTAGCTGAACTGAAGCCCTACAACTATAGACATACAGAAGGAGCCACCTTGAGACTGGTAAGAGGGGCAGAGACACAGAGCATGCTGATCCCACACCCACTTGTGACCATTAAAAATCAGGAGGGATTTTTCAGCTGCAGAGGTACCCCCCAGAGGGGCGAGGGGGTCCCTGCCCCATACCAGGCTCCCCAACCCATGGTTCTAGTGCCAGGGAGAGAAGTCTTCATAACGTCTGGTTGTGAAAATCAGCGGAGATTGTGGCTGAGTGAGACCAAGGGCAGCTGAAGTCCCATGTTCTCCTCTTAAAGGGACTGCACACAGACAGACTCACTCACTGACAGACTCACTTACTCTGAGCTCCAGCACTGGGGCAGCAGCTTGAAAGGTGCCAAGGACATACAGGGAGAAACTGAATTGTTTGGCTTCAGGTTGAGGCCTGGAGGGGCACCTTTCTCCAGAATGGAGTCGCTGGCAAAAGTCATTGTTTATTTGTTGAGCTCTCCCACTTCCCTGCATGCAGACACAGGTAGATGCCATATCTGAGTCTCCATCAAACTATCACCTTCCATCAGTCCCGCCCTAGTGATTCCTTGAAACCATGCCCCACCCAATTTTCAGGCATACCCAAGCCACTTCTAGTGGCTTTTCCATACAAAAACCTGTCTTAGCTCATGCTACAAGCTTTCATAAAACCTTTCAAAGGTTCACAAAACCCAAACAAACAGCATCTGGCTTCAGTGTGTTTCATACATCTGGCTGAGCAGCCCTAAGCCCGGCACTAGCGACAGCTAGCCTTGGTCCACAGATGGCCTTTCAAGGCACTGCTAAGCCCAGTGAGGGTGGTGGCCATCTGCGGATTGCTTTGTGGCTCGTACCAGGTGACTCCAAGCAGGACACAAGCTGCAGTTAAACTTCACCTGCAGCGGGTTCCCTCCCAAAAGGTTCCAAGACTGGCACACCTGGTGGCCAGCTTCCAACCAAACTGGAGTATCACCCAGCCTCCTCCAAGTACAACACACCCAAAGGGCACACTGGGCAGGCACCAGAGCCTCTCTAAAGCAAACCCTGCTCTGCAGGGTCAGCCCTTGCACCACAACTCCTCCCCTGTAGTTATGGCCAATCCTCACAATCAATCAGCCTGAGGGTCAATCCCTCCTATTGACATGCAAACAGAAACCAACGCCCAACTACAACAGGAGGGCACATAAAACCCATAAGGGACACTCCTGGAGCACCGACTCTGGTGACCAGGCAGACTGCACCACTGGGTCCCACAGGACACCTAGTACATAAGGCCACTCTACTAAGACTGGGAGACATAGCAGCCTTACCTAATACATAGAAACAACCACAGGGAAGAAGCCAAAATGGGGAAACAAAGAAACATGTTCCAAATTAAAGAACAGAACAAAGCTCCAGAAAAAGAACTAAACAAAAAGGGGACAAGCAATCTATCAGACACAGGGTTCAAAACACTGGTTATAAGGATGCTCAATGATCTCAGGGAGAACTTCAACAGAGAGAAAACAAAAACAGAGAAAGAAAGCATAAAAACCAGTCAGAAATGAATACAATAATGAAGATGAAGAATACATTAGAGGGAATCAAGAGTAGATTAGATGAAGCAGAGGATAGAGTAGGTGATTTAGAAGATAAGGTAGCAGAATAAACCCAAACAGAATAGAAAATAGAATCCAAAAAATTGAGGATAGTTTAAGGGGCCTCTGGGACAACATCAAGCATACCAACATTCACATCATAGGGGTACCGGAAGGAGAAGAGAGAGAGAGAGAAATTGAAAACCTACTTGAAGAAACAATGACAGAAAACTTCTCTAACCTGACAAAGGAAATAGATATACAAGTCCAGAAAGCACACAGAGTCCCAAACAAGATGAAC